TATAAATAAATTTTTAAATAGGCTAATAGGTCAGCTCAAACTTTAAAAGAAATCATGTTAGACCTATAAAAAAAGTATGATAGATAAATTAATGGAGGAGCATGGACTAAGGGTCAAACCACCAAAGCCATGGTCATGGCTATAGGAGGATACATGAGAATTTGGCTAGTTCAGAGTCTATTGGACTTGGTGGAACCAAGTTGCTCTCTACATATGGGTCATTCATTGATATATTATTTTTCATGCTAAAAGAGAGGATATATTAGTATAGATAGTATTTTTCTTAGCCTTGTATTTTTTGCTTTAAGATTAGCATTTTTTGGCCTTAGGCTTATTGGGCCTATTTTTTGGACTTGATGGACTTTCGGTATTTTGGTACCTAATATTGGGTTCATTTTGTTTCTTTTACTATTTCCTAATGTTTAGACTATTTGGACCATTGTACTTTAAGTCATTAGATTAGGTTTTGAGGGGAAAAACATAATTATCCAAAGATAGTTAAATTAGGTCACATATAGGTTTAATTTGATATGCATTTGATGCACAAGTGCTAGTCTAAGGTGGGCTGCACTTAGGCATGACAACGGGGCGAGGCAGGGCAGGGCGGGGGCGAGGAACACCTGCCGGGGGTAAAATCTAGGTCCCCATCCCTGCCCCTGGCAGGGTTCGGGTTTCCCCGCCCCGTCCCCGCCCTCGCTCCTACCTTTTTCTTCTTTTTTTTTCTCTTTTTCTTTTAAATAAATATGAAGAATTTTAAAAAATAAAAGAAAATTAAAATAATATAAATTTTTTACATATAAATATTTCTAATTTTGATTTATATATATATAAATAATTTTTTAATTATATTATTAATCGGGGCGAGGGCGGGGGCAGGGGCGAGGTGGGTATTAACATCCTCGTCCCCGCCCCTGTCCCCAATTTTATCAATCAGGGAAAACCCGAACCTGAACCCAAACCCGATAAACACAGGTTTTTCCCGTCCAAATCGGGGTGGGTTCGGGTGGATACCCACAGGGACGGGTTAGATTGTCATGCCTAGCTGCACTTGATCCGCATCAAATGACACCCAAATCAAGCCTAAATGGAATTAGAGTTGCACATGAATCTGCATTTGGACAACAACGAATTTGAAATTCAAATTCCATTTGAATTTCAAATTTTCAGCGCCAATGCACTTGACTTCTTTGTGCATGAATTCCAAGCTCTTCCTTGCCTATAAATTGAGCTTTCCTCCATATTTTGTAATCACTTTGAGAATCATATACAGAGCATTCTGCATTTTGTGCAAATTCTCTCATACTTAAAAAATCATTTTCGTCTAGCATTCTAGGGTTCCTAGAATCCTTCTATGTTAGGCACCTTGTGAGTAATATTATTTGCTTCCTTGGTAAGAGTGCTTCCAATTTTCAAAGACTTTAGTGTCTCTCACTCTGTTCTTCGTCATTTTGGATGGTAAATTCAATTCAAGAAAGGTTCATGAAACTTAAAGCATCTACATGAAAGATTCGTCATTCAATTATTCAAGATTAGTCATCATAAATAGATCAAACTTAGACTTAAATTTTATAGAACAAATCCAACCTATATATATAAAATTTGGTCTGATCTGACTTAGAGCGTGTTTGGATATACGTTGAAAACGTGGAAAACCACGTTCAACGTGGAAGCTATTATTAATAGCTTCCACGTTAAACGTGATTTTTCACGTTTGAAA